CCATTAATAAAGGAGGATGTGAGGGTAGAGAGACAGAGCGATATTGTCTGAGAGATGCAACACACACACACACACACACACACACACACACACACACACAAACAAGAGTGGATTATTAAAATCTCTAAAAAAAAAACAGTTTACCTACATCTTTCCTTTTTTTTTTTTTACTCAGGTGCTCAACAGCATCCAGCAAATTCTCTCAAATTCACGGGTACACGTCTTTCAGATGATTCCTTTATGTTAACTCCAAATTTATTTTAAGAAAAGTTTTAAAAGTCAGTGTGAGCTCCAGAATTTTCCTAGCAGAAAATGCCCCAGGAGGAAAAACGCATAATCTATCCAGTTGCTTATTGCTTGGACTGCAGATGAAATGATTAAAGTAGAAATTTGACTCAGAACAATCCAGAAGTGAACAGACTGCAGCTGCAACACAAACATAGCATATGCATGCACAAGTGTTTGACCTCTTTTTATCCAAACTAAGAAGTGACCACCATGGGCGTGTCACTTAGACAGGGAACAAAGTCTATCATGCATCAAAGCGAATTCAAACCGTTGTCCATGGTGGATTTTAACCTATTTTTTTTGTGACTGCAAAACGGAGGTACAAACAAAACGAGCTGCTAATGCTAATGAGCTAATATCACAGACTTATTGTCACTCCACACTGCTAAACACTTGCCACACAGGTTTTTTTGTGTAAATATGTACATATGTATGTGTTTGAGGCTGTTGAGGTAACAAGATGTTTGCGAGGGATAATGTGAGCCGTGCTCTAGATGGGTGTGACGACAGGAGGAAAGAAAAAACAAAAAACGAACTGAGTGGGGATATTAAGAAGAAGAAGAAGCCCGTCAAGTATGAAAACAAGCAACAACAAGTTCAATCATAGCTGAGAGCGGGATGAGTTATGGCACACTCAATTTAATTTTAACTAATGAGGCATCCATCCACTTCCATGATTCTGCAGATATGATTACAAAAAAAAATAAAAAATCTAGGCTTCCTTCACCGAAACGACAAAAAGCATCTACTTTAAGTTCTCTATCTGTACAAGGTAAAGCATATGGCTTCTTCCAGTTTTAACTATTAGCATGTTGTTTACACAGATCCCAAATCAGCATATTCTGCCCACCCAATCTGATCAGTCGGTTAATCATCAACTAACAAAGTTACAAAGCCAAATTAAAATCCAGGAGTCCAGGCTGCCATTATCCCTCCCTAAATATTTACCCTGTTTCAACATAGCTGAGCTGTCCGTGCAGCACCGACTGGAGAGACAGAGAGGGCTGTGCTCCGGGGTTAAGGCCAAGTCTGAGGCCAGAAGAACACGCGCATAAAACACACGCGTGCATATCTGCATGCTCAAACGCTGTGGTGTGTTTGACGGAGGACGCGACACGGTCCAAACGCAACGACATGGACGCCACGGGCATGTTGCCGTGAAAAATTACAACTTTTTTTTTTCTTACGCCCGCGTAAGGGAACGACTGCGTGAGCAGAACGTGTGCGTTATCTCTGTGCATGCCTGCGTGCGCGTGCAACACATGAAACGTTGGCTAAAAAGAGATAGAGAGTGGATGTTGGGGGAAATGACTCGGTTTGGGTGTGACCTGCTCAGCAATGCACTGGTGATCATGTGAGACCTGTTCTAATTATATACTTCTCAAGAAGAAGGTCGATCCGCTCTCATGGGCCAGGAGCTTGTGCACGCGTCCAAGAGGATGCACTGATGTCGAGTGCGAGACAAGTAAAGGAGAGCAATATGGCCTGTTGTAACGGCGCTCATTGGAGAGTTTGTCCTATTTCAACAGTAAATTAAAGTAGGACAACTCACTCCGTCAGTGAACGTGTTTGTGGGTCCGTGCGACAGAAAACCCAATGCGGTGCAATGCAGATGTTTCTGTGTATTTTTGTTTTAGATGTTTGAATAATCAACAGGCTTCATTTCATATTTGTTATTGTTCTTTTATGCTTTTTTCCCCTCCCCCCATCCTTTTTGCTCAATCAGCTTTTTTCTTGTGTTTTTTTTAATTTTTATTTATAGACCTGCTCTGGTTTTTCCAGGAAAAAAATGGGACAAATGGTTAAAGGAAAAAAAAAAAAAAAGAGCTACACAAGTCCCCCTGAAAACTGGTTTAAACAAATACATTAGTCCATTCTGAAGCGTTCAATCAGGCACATAACAGCTGCTTATTTCCAATTATGATCTGTACCTTCAAAATAGACGAGAATATGTGACCTCAAAATGTGACCTCAAAATAGTCAGAAATTAACTGTGTCAGGTTTTTGTACTAATTATATTTCACGAGATTAAGTTCAGATATTTTTTTTGTCCTAGTTAATATCTATTGATCTCACTTGCCAGTACTAACCGTTTACCTAATGATGCAGTGAACAGACTTTTTCCGACAATTTTCCAATTTTCTATGAGGTTTGCCCTTTTTATACCCCAAGAACGAAATCAAATTACAGAAAAATGTTCTACATTACCTGACAGGTGATTGTTTTGTTTTCAATCCAACAGAAAATGAAGGAATTTCAGCTTCAAGTCTGCACTCTTGCTGGAGCACTCTTACTTCCAGTCAGAATAAACATGCTGGTCGAATTAAAACATTGTTTTAAACCGTGGTATACCGGTATCAATAGTTTAATGACCAACTGTGAGTACAAAAGTTTCTTAACATAGATGCAATTGATTGATGTGTTCATAGACTAAAAATGGCAAAAGTTCTTTGTTTCGACTCATTTTCAGATTGGCTCAGAACTACTCATAAGAGGAAATTGGCTGATCGATTGGTGCTGCTACAGTTTTACCCACGCTGTGTATTTCTGGTAACACAGCAGCATCTCTGCAGCCATATAGGAGACGGAAATAAACACTTTTTCTTGTGGAATCATGTGCTTTTCTTTACTTGTCCCATGAGGAAGGTTGCAAATTGATGCAGGCAGTTAACAGTGGTGTGACAGATTGCCAGCACTCCTAATTTTCGAAAGATCCACTGAAAAAGAAACGTACCAATCACACCGAGAGGCGAATTGTGAATAAATTTGAGCATGACTCTGCTTCTGCCTTCTGATGATCAAAATCCTGAAATAAACTCTTAGTTCTAAACAACTCAGTCTCATATTAATCTAAAGAGATCTAAAGTCTCTTTAGATATATATATATATATATAAAAAATAAAGCACAAACACATAAACCATTATCTTGTTCTCTAGGCTTTGGGTTTAAAATAATCTCTCAGTTGAGATCTTGAGCTCCGTCTGATAGACGGCTTGTGACAGAAGGACTAAGAAAAAAAGGTTTTCTTTTTTCTTTCATTTTGCTACCACTTGGGAAATGATTGCATACGGTTTTCCAAAACTGTCTCCAACTGTGCTCAAAAACATGAACATGCAGAATGAGATACTCACACCAACCCCCTGTGGCCGCCCTTCGTTCTTTACACAGGAAGTGGTTTGAAGGATGCCATCGCTTCAGTCCTTTTAGATACCTAGATGTGAAATACTAAGGGCGGCTGTACAGAATTGCATGGCAGCCTGGTTAGGGTTTTTTTTTTTTAACCTCTTAGCAAATTGGTGGCAATGTTTTTATTTCCAGTGGGATGTTGCATTTCTAAAAAATCAAGCCACAGTGTTGATGTAGTGTAATCAGATCTACAGAGGTCAAAACATTGTAGCTTGTTCTGTAAAGTCCTATTACCATTATTGGTTTAAAAAAAAAGCCAGTTTAATTCCTCAAAAAGATTTACCTTCCTTTTCCTCTTTATTACAGTTGACTCACATGACCAGAAAGGGGTAGGGCAAAAAAAACAAAAAAACAAGACCTGATGCTGCTCATGCTATTTCCAGTTTTTAGCTCTACATAGTTCCTCAACAGCTTTTCAGCCACTAATCTGTAATCTGTCTCACCGGCCGAGACACGGCTTATGCTTTTCTTACCTTGAGGGAGTCGAAGCAAGCAATCACCCGTCCGTTGTCCACCTGGCAGCTCTTGGCCGGATGGGCAAACTTGCACTCCTGGTCGGAGCGCGAGCACGTGCCCCTCTGAAATTCCCGGCATACTTCCAGTGTGAGCCACTTTGTGTCGCGGATGTGTGCTATGTTCATGGCCATGGCAAAACGCAGGCAAAAGGTGTTCCTAGCAAAGATACGTTCAAGTGCGGATAAAGTACTTCTTCTAGTGTTTTAATCCACTATTGTCCTGCCTTGTTTTAAATGTCTTCCTTGTTATCGTTGCTGCTTGTGACAAGCTGAAATGAAACATTCAGAAACGTACGGCTTGGTGAAATGCTGCAGGACAGTGTTTTGCTGTGGACGTTAATGAGTCATTTTCCCGATGCAAAACAGCATCTGACAACAGGTCCGAGATATCCAGGAGACGTCTTAGCCAACTTGTTCCTCCTCACTGTTTGTGTTTATTGCTTACTCTCTTATGCAATATGCAAAAAGAGAGAGCCCTCTGGTTGGGTGCAGTGAAGCAGGCAACAAAGGTGACAGTCTGTATAGTCTGCTTCAGGAAGGTTAAGGACACTGAGGACTGAACAGAGGCCTTAAGGGGCTGAAGGCGATGGTGAAAGGCAAGGTGGGTGAAATGCTGTTTGTGGGGCCTGGCGGTGCAGTGGTAAGGCTGGTCAGCTGGTGGTGAGCAGCGAGGGTCGTCTGGTGAGTAGGGCTGATGTTGGAGTGGATGCTGATGGTGGAGCAACGGGGAAGGGCGTGGTCGTTGTCCCTTTACTCTTAAAACTGTGGCAGCAAGCGAGCGAGCAAGGGAAGAGGGGAGGGATGGAGCTTCAGCTGTAGAAGCAGGTCAAAGCTGCAGCAGACATCAGGGAAGGCACTTCCTCTGAGGAGAGAGGGGGAAAAGAGACAGACAGATTAGTCTAATAGTGTGTGTTAAATAAATATTTATTTTTTTCTCTCTCTTGTAGCTTTCAGAGGAGTTTCTAATCTGCTGCACCTTTTAAATCGTGCCGCCGCAACAATATGCAGCTGTGGGAATGAAGAAAATGTAAAAATGTCAGAAATGCAGCAATGTAAGCTAAAAACAAAAACAACATTCGCCATAGCCTGTGCACTAAAAATGCACACATGCTCATTGTGCCACCGCGCTCATACTCACACAGAACGACAACAAAAAAAAACCCAAACAAAACCGCAAAAAGCAGCTATTCACAACTTCCGCCTCTTCTGATCGACGAGGCAAAATCAGATCAGATCGGCTCCAGTGTCGCCTACAGTCTCATCAAGCAGAGGTCGGTCAGTCATTAAAGCGGTTTAGGAAAGAAAAAAGAAAGGGAAGAGTGAAAGCAGGGAGGGAAGTTGAGGCAGGGCATGAGGGAGAAGAGTTTAGTCATTTCCTTTCTTGTAAAGTCTTGTGAGAGTGGGGACCAATGAGAACGAGCGGAGTTGCAGCAACATTCTGGGCCGAGGGCCAGGTGAGAGCAAGAGGGGGAGGAGCAGACAGGAGGCCGACCTGACTGCTGCTGGAGAAAAACACAGGCGCAGAGCGAAAATTATCACTCTGTTTATTATTTATATAACTGCTGGTTCTCTCATAAACAGGTGATCAGTCACGCTGCCACACAACGCATTATTCTCACCGGGCCAACATCACATCCCTGCGTCGGTCTCCATGTTATGCTTATTACAGCAGGATACTTTTAAAAAGTTTAAAAAAGATGAAGGCTTGTTTTCTCGACTACGGTTTTCTTTTCCAGGCAGTGTTTATTTATTTATTTTTTTCATTTTTTGGTGCACCAATTTGCTCGCCATTTACATGATTGGGCTCCCAGGGGCCCGTTCTGCTCTTATCGCACCGGCAGCCTGAGTCACCACACCCTCTGTGCAGAGAAATCGCATTTCCCAGAAAAAGTATATGCACCTTCAGTAACACAACTGACCCCTGCTAAGTTAACGATCACAACACGCTATATCAGAGCGGCGCAGAGGCTCAGCCCGAGCCGCTAGGATCCAGCAACACAGACAACATGTTAGCAGACCCAGAGAAGCAGAAGAGAAATTATACCTTTTTACCTTGGATGACCTTGAGGAAGTATTACTGCTAGAAATGACCTTTGGAGCTCAACCATAATTGTAAACAAATGCTGCAACTTCTTCAGTTGTGCAGCTGCGTATACAAGTTCACTGCATAAACAATACAGCTACCATACAGGGCTGTAGACAGGAGACTCTAGTAATTTTGACAGTGTCTCTAAATGAATTATTTTAATATTTTATCAACTGTTTGTTTCTCAGAGAATGACTGGTGCCTGGAATCACACATATAGCACATAGTATACCATCATTTTGTTTGCATGAATTTCAGTTCCCATGAACTCTCCTAGTTTTTCATCATTTCATCCTCATCCCTGTTAAAGATCAGCCATGTCTGCAGGACCTGCTTAACATCATATAGTGTTGATGAGACTAATGCTGTTGCACTGCGTGGTGCAAACACTCCATAAACCACACTGTAGCTTTATTTTTTTTCTGAACAATAGCCACAGCTGGACACCATTAATGAGCTGGAACGGAGGATTCTATATAAAGATTTAAGTGAAAGGCATCAGCGGCCGTCTTTAAGAAAACGAGAGTGTAATGACTCGACGCTTGAAAAACGGCTGCCCCCTGAGATCCGTCTTAATCAGTTTCCATGGTTTCTGTTTGAGTCAGGCAAGTGGATATCTGTGACAATGCAGTATAAGGTAATGTGCTAGCGGGATAATGAGCTCTCCTTATGATCCATCATGTCCAGACGCAGGCATTCTTGCCCTATTGATTTCTTCATCTCAGTGGCCTTTCCTGTCAGTATTTCCAGTCCTCTATATAATTCCACTTTAACTGTCTCCTGTGGATCCATCTTTAAAAAAAAAAAAAAAAAAAAAAAAAGTTATTGGCTTGAACCATCAAATTCACATTATGTTTCAGGATGAATTCATACAGGAGCCAAAGCTCCATCCATATATTAATGTGACTGTCGCGTCTAAACTCTCCTCCAGCATCCTCGGCAGCCCTCCTTTAGGCTCCAAGGTCTCGCAGGCTGGTGCAAGGTCAGCCACAACGGTGGAACATGACGGTGCGAGAGAGCAAACAAAAAAGTCTGTGTGCTTCCCGTCTGCCTTTCGAACACGTGGTTCAAATATTGCATGGCGGCGAAAAGAAGAAGTTCATCTTCGATATCAGCACATCAGCAGCAGCGGCTCGCGGTCATGTGACACCGGCGAATGCCTTAACGGCATACGCGGTATCAGAAACAAGTCTGCACATCTTTTGCTTTCTCTTCATAATGGGCTGCACAACATATCGGCTCAACAACGACAGCACTCGGCTTTCACAGAACGCACAAACGGAGCACAAAGCCTGCTTGAGGTTTGATTGGTGATTATTCACTGAGGTTTTTCTCCGCCACAAAAGAATGTTTTGCAACGGAGACGTGTCTCAACTGATTAAGAAGACGAAGCTGTCAAAGTATTGCAAAAGTACGAAGGGGATGTTGAAGTGTTGCTGTTATTTTAACCGAAAAAAAAAAAAAAAAGAGGTGTGGTTGCCAGATTAAACTTCCCCAAAATGAATAAGGGCCCACATTTTAAATGTAGCTAACAGCACATTAACTTAGTTTGACAGCTTAGGTCATGAAAAATAGAAATGGTTCAAATTTCCTCTTTAAATTAAATGAACTTTTTCAGTAATCTTGTAAATGGAAAAAAAAAAAACAGACAAGAGGGCAAACCGTCATCACTTTATGCTTCATTCATACTTTAAATAATACAGAATAAATGAATGTATGTTAGTGATCATAGGCACTACGTGCTTGATTTAATTTACTAACACAAATTGGGCTTTAAATCCAGTCTGATTTTTTTTTTTTGTTTGTTTTTACCTCGACAGCAAAGAGATAGGCATTGGCGCCTTCTGGTTTGCTGCTCTTCAGTAAAATGGAGTAGTTTCAGCATTCTGACAGAGGTGGAGTCAGGGTGACAGTTTGCTGATGCAGGTCATCACAGAACACAACGCAGTGGGAAATGCAACACCGCTGGCCTTTGTGCTCACACTGCACCGTGCGCTTGGGAAAAAAAAAGCATCCTCGCTGACCTTTACATCCACACATACACTTTGGTGCACATATCAGCTCATTTATAGTCGAACATTTGTTCCTGAGAGGCCAATGCAAACCAGCCATGACTATTGAGTAAAAAAAGCCCTTTTTCTGAAATGAAACTAATCAGACTATTTTTTGTTTAATTAATAATACATGACTCATGTGTATGGCAATGAGTGAAACCACAGGACATCCTGTTGGTTTTATTTCGATATTGACATTCATTCTTATGCTCCTTGTGTCATCGTCATCACTACCAAGCTATTAGGTCTTCTTAACTATTATGTCTACTAAGTTTTTGTCCTTCAATTATATATAATTTGACTCTGAAAGTGCAGCCCCGGCTAGGAATGCCAAACAAACAATGCCTATTGATTCCTCTTAGCGCAAACCGCTGGGGACAATGAGATCTCTTGTTTAGCATACATAGACAAAACTAGTCTCACACACACACACACATGCACACACTGACAATATACAGAAATGCAAACCTTAGCAACAAAACACAAACCTCGGTCTGTCCTAACAGAGAGTATTCTTCAGATGTGGTGAATATCTAGCTGTCTACAACACTGTATCTTTGTGTACATGTGTGACTGGAACCATGTATGGCCACATGGCACAATAAGTAGCTGAGCTAATGAGTGGATTTTTTTATTTTTTTAGCTTCAATAATTAGGGCAATTATTAAGATTAGCAAGGTTAGTACACACTACACTGAGTGGGCATGAGCAGATACATTAAGGTTAAAAATATAATTAAGATTCTAAAAAAGCTAGAATTTTCTACCCTACTGTTCTAATGATTTAAATTTAAACAGCAAAGCAAACAGGGACAACAGTTCCTGTTTTAAGAACTTTAAAACTACCACTACATTTAGAGGAAGGTTTACAAATCCATGTATAAAAATCAGGCTGTAGACATTTTTTGAAAGCTGTAATAAGAATTATTTCAGCAGCATTAGAAATAATTGCTCTTTTTCTGTTTGTTTTAGACAAAAGCAGCTTGTTGGTGGATAGTTGTTGGGCAACTTTAATTGTTTTTGTGCAAACAGTGTGACACCATTAAACTCGAGGTTACCGTCAGAACCTCATGCAGGCGTGTGCCTAGAAATGAGCAAAGGCAAATTCAGTTTATGTACTTACTGGAAATATAAACAATGTGTATGAATAACTGTGATCTGCAAAAACAGATCTCAACAACTGTCTCCAAGAGATTCTGCAGACGTGTGCTAGACGGGTCGGTAGGTTTTAATGGAGGATATATATCGCTCTAAACCTAAATGGCAATGGACCAACAACTTGCCAAGACAGTGTTTATGTTGTCTGTGCTGTGGGCCGCTCGGTTTGCCGTCCCCATGACAGAGTGACAATACTTTGCAACACGATAGAGAAGGTCATATTTTTAAACACCGTTGTCATAATTGCCTAGCTGCCTTGCCTACAAAAACAGAGTAGAGGATGTTGAAAAATGGAGCGAATCCTGTCTGTATCCCAGCCAGCCATGCTCTGCTCAAAGTGCCGTGTCTGAGGGTTATTTAGCTGTTTATATGGAGCAGGGGGAGGATAAAGGAAGATGTAGCACTTAAAAATGGAAATACAGTATCTGAGGGGCACTTTTAGAAAGGAAACGACATGGGTGAGCTTCCGGATAAACTCACAACTGTAAATATATTCTTAGTTATCAAAGTTTATTGAGTGTGTAGTTCGACTCATTCTGATGTATTTTGTGAGATAATTTTACACTTCACAAGTCAATAAAGAAAAAAAACCCATAGCATTTCTCTATTTAAAATATATTTTTACGAGTACAAACACATACAACACTTTATCTTGGTTTATGCTGATGCACTGCCCACAGTAAAAAGTCATGGTTCTTGTGGATTAGTAATCAAACTAATCTCTAAATTTTGCGTATGTTTGAGTATTGATATGCCTAAAGTATGCTACTTTGGAAGACTTACATTTTTGTAAAAGAAGAATTATCCTTCTTTTACAGAGAAGGATAATTCTGAGTTGGGATAGTTCATGTTTTAAATATGCATTTATCGACCTACGTTAGAAGTCTGAAGCAAACATTACAGTATTACAGTGCTAAGTACTGACTTACGATGCAAATGAGGGTGAAAGGAAGCTCAAATATTTGCTCTGTCTATCTCTCCAAAAATTATTAACTGCTGATAAGCAAAGAATTAGATAAGTATCATGTACGATTAAAGACATGTTAATTACAGGGGTAACACAGAGCTGTGTCCCGCCTCTGACAGCTGTTCCAGTCAATTATTATTATTAGCTTAGCCAGGATTGTACAAAGTGGAGAGAGACTTACCCAACAAAAGCTGTGGGAAAGTGTCACTCAGATGGGGTTAAAATGTTGTCATAACATCATAGGAACATGTATAGGATTCCTCGTGTAATGCAGGCTTAACCTGTCAGTGCAGACTCACCCATGCACATAATCCTGTCTGTAGGGCAGATTAAATCACAGGTGACATACATCACTGGACAACAGTCTCCACCCAGAGTTTACATGCATATTTACACTGATAACAGCAGCATGTTGCTCTGACATCGCAGCGAGGCAACGACTCGGAGAAGTCTACCTGCAGGAAGGACTTTTCCACAGTCTCCTCTTTAAAGTCTATTACGCTTTAGTCCGCGTGTCTACACAAATTCAAATTGCACTGCTACTATTTTAGCAACCGTGAATCCAGCTCAGTCACAACAACATTCCTCTTCCTTTCCCCCAACCACAGACACACCACCAAGAAGAAACCCAGCAGGGCAAACAGGAGGAGGGCAGAGATAGTGAGAAGATCAGACAACGAGAAGGGAGAAAAGGAACGGAGGACAAAGTTCAATTCTGTGTAAACTGTAAACATCTCTTGCATTACTTATATATTTTTTTTTTATGTACGGTACAATAATTAAGGATTTTCTTTTGGTCAGAGTGTTCTTGGAATCTGAAAAGAGGAAATGCAAGCCGAACGGATCAAATACCTAAAATAACTGCAACTCTGATACGAAACAAACCATTTCCCCACAAATATTAGCACTTTTACGACTTTTAAACTGACAAGATGAGCTGCAACAAACCCAGCACTTTAAAGAAAGAAAAGCACAACGCAAGAACCTAAAAGAATACTTCAAAGCGTTGAAAATGCGAAAATTCACTTACTTTCTCTCCCGTCGAAACATCAACTAAATTATCTCCATGTACTTGGACTTCCTACTTGTCCCTTGTTGCCTCTTAAACTTTCTTCCTCCCTATTCGTTACTTGCCTGCTGTCAGTCGCACGAAAACACTCAAACAGACAAACCCGCCAACACACACACACACACACCCACAGACAGTCACCCTCTAACACACTCTTCTCCCGCGACCCAAAATGTTTGGCAACATTCTACTGTCCTGAAATACGGCTCTCACCATAAAAGGTAGCAGTAGCCTCCTATGTCACACGCAATTTACATATGCTGGGGTGGGATTTTGGCTCACACAGCATGCATGTTAAAAACACACAAAGATATGAAGCCATGCTTTCCACCTTTGGGCTGACGCAGCAAGAAACGGATGGCGGGGGGGGGCAATGCCTTCGGAGATCATTACCATTCTCAATGTTTACCATGCCCTGCAGGATTCCAACATGTCCAACGTTGAGTCAGATGGAGGGAATGGAAGCTGAGTGGGCGATCTATTGATCCTCTCCACTGCTTCCTGGAAAAACCACGGCCCTCCAAAGTCTCTCTCTCTCTCACACACACACACACATATACCAGCATATTTTCTCGCAAAGCAGCGCTACCCTCAGGAAGAAGTTGTTGTGTGACGGTGTGATTTGAGCCAAGGATGTGTCTTTCAGTGAGTGTGTGCTCATTTCTATAAAATAGGCTACAACAAATAGAAGTCCACTCGCAGCAGAAGACTGTAAAGGCAATGAATCTCGATCTCTCTACCTATGCGCTCCACTGCATGGAGACTTACTTTGCAAAGTGGAGCCTGAAGCTCGCACACGAGGAAAGATCTCGATAAACCAACAAGACAGGGTGGAGGGTGGTGAACCCCAGCTCTTACCTCTCACATTGCTCTCCAGTTCTGTGCGCGTGAGCTTCCGTGTGTCGACTGGCTCTGTGTGTTTATGCGCGCATTCAGACAGGCCGCGACAGCAGACCCTTAGGCACCGGCTGGACCATTCTCAGGCAGGCAGGCGGGCAGGGGGAAGGCAGGCAGAACGCAGCAAGGCAGAGCGACTGGCAGAGGAGAGGCAAGCGAGGGAGTGAGTGAATCAGCAGCGAATGAGTGAAGGAGCAGTGCAGAACCGAGCACCAGAGTGAGAGAGCGAGAGAGAGAAAACGAGCGCGAGAGAGAGAGGAGGAGTGTGTGTCTGATCGCGCACGCGCGCGCTCCTGCGCGTGCGTGTTTGTGTGCGTGTGTGAATGTGTTGCAGTGTATCCCCTCCCCAGGCTCTCTTCGAGCGTCTGAGCCGGGCTGTGCCGAGCTGTGCTGAGACGGGTTGGGTTGTGTCTTTACTGATCCCCCAGCCTCTGGATCGTCTGTCTGCTGCAGGGAAGTGCTGCTCGCTGGGCGGCAGTAGCAACAGCTGTGGAGGAGGAGGAGGAGGAGGAAAGAGGAGGAGGAGTAGGAGGGAGCCCTGACTGCACTGAGCATACAGATCCTGCAGTTCCCTCTCCCTAACCTAAACTCAAAGCCAGCCACGCCCCCACTCCCCCCCCTCTCCCTAAAACAACACCAGGAAGTACTGGCTCACTTACAGCAGCATTGCCCTTGCCTTTCCAGTGAAACTGGGGGAAGGAGAGAGGAAACGGGCAAAAAGAAAAAAAAAAAGAATGAGAGAATAATTTAAAGAAAGAAACAAGATAAACATAAAAAAAATGACTGCGGACAATGAGATGGGGGGGGGGGGGGGTGGGTATCCAAAAGCAAATAACATCACGACCATGAGGTTAGACTATGAGCAAAGTGTGTGAAAGTTGGGTAGAAAATGGAAGCTGGGTGGAATGAAAAGAATAAGGGGTGTGGAGGAAACAAGTATGGAAAGATTTACAGGGAGTGTGTGACAGAATAGGTCTGGATTCTGTCCCGCTCCCCTCTTTCTCCTTCGAGCTGCTTTTCTGCTGTGGCATGCAACCCTCAGCTCAGTCTCATTGCAACAGCATCACACGGTACACCAGTCATACCCAACCTGCGCTGTAGTTATATTCTAGATATACTACGAGTGGTACATTTAAGGTAACATCAAGGAGAAAAAGTAAATAGAGGAAGTTTGTTGCATTTCAGAAACTTAATAAAGGACAAAGTAAAAGTGGGGAAACATACACAGCTACAAAGTCTCCTGTACGGCTGTTGACACAAGGCTTCTGTGCATCGACCTTTGTATTCGGGGAAGAGCTGTTGTGTCAGAGGGGAGCCTCTAAAAATTGAATTCAGCTATGATGCTGCAATATCCGGTAGCTTAGGAGATAGAGGCCCTGGCATCAAAAGGAATCCTTCCAGGTTTTAAGCTGCGAGCAGAGCTTTGTTACTGATACTCTTTTCACTCATACTCTCGTGAAACCTCATTTTCCTTGATTGGGATCAGAGGAAAGGAACATTTATATAGTTCTGTTTGAAATATTGAAACTGCTTTACTAAATATTTTATTTAACAAAGAAAGGAAATTCTATGTCGTTCCTAAAAATGAGATAGCTGAGAAAACACATGCAGCCGAATTTGAGAAAGTGATGTTCCAGAAAAAAGCAGATGTTACGCAGTTGACATCTTACCTGAAGTATATATTTCTCATAGTATCTTCATTTAGTAAACATTTAGAACTTTTTGGGCAGAAAGCTGGAGCTGCTAACTGCTTCGTATCTCAGCTGATTCTGCCGAAGATGAAAACAGCTTTTGTTGTTTCGTGTTTCTTTTCAGACCTTTTTAGACGGTGAAAACATTCCGAGATACGAAGGCTCAGATTTAAACCAACTAATCAAACCGTTCATGGTCCACGATCAAAACAGACTTGTTCTGTCTTAAAGTAACTCCAACGTCAATAACGTCAAAATGCTTTTATGGAAACACTGTTTTGAGAACCTTTAAACAGGCACTTGAGGACCAATGTTGGGGACCTCAGCTTTACATATTTCACACAAAATGATCTCTGAAACATCTGTCCACAAAACAGCCTTCGCACAAGTAGCTGTGACAGTTTTGAGATAGGAGTTGTGGTCTGAAACTGTTAGTTTGTGCCTTTAGGCCTCAAGGCCTCAGGGAACAACTTCTCTACATTTATCCAGAAATAAAGAACCCAATAGAGTTATCAGACACAAGTTGGATATTAACTGTTTATACCCTTCAGGAGAGGATTTTCAATCAACGTGGAAAAGATGATGTTGTCTTCCATCTGAACAACATGGAAACATTGTTGAAAGGTGAAAGGGTGCTTACTCAAAGACGTCTACTGATATCCAAATGTGGTTTAACGGTTTTCAGGGAGTTGATTATATAGACAAGCCAACATATTTGCTTAGACTGACTCGCAGCGGGTCTGTCAGACAAAAAAAAAACCCAGTTATGTCTTTGCACTGAGTAAAGACGAGTATTAGCTAGCCTTTAAAAGTAATTTAAAAAAAGACGTCTGTGGACATCCGGTCTTGAGAGGATAACCTTTTAATAGGTTCTGAACAAGCACCTTTTGTTTGAAGTGCTTCCTCAGCTCTAACTGAAAGGTGAAGGCATTTCCTTTGAAGACATTACATTTTTTACACCCAAAATCTATGGCAATTCTCACTCCTTTTTTTCCCAGAAAATGGTATATTGTTATATGTACATTACTGTAGAAGTGAGTAACATACAACAGCACAGTCCCAGTATTTCCTAAAGACACTCAAATGTTTGCGTTTGTCCGCCTTTAACTGGTCTGAGCAAACCAGATCCAGTGTTGCATCTCTCCACACGTGGTGATAAGTCATTGCTAATTTACACATCAGTCCCTTAAATCCTTGGTGCTAATTTGTAGATAAGAGAGCAGCAGGGGCCAACGTCTTATAGTTCACTATGCCCGATAGTGAATTACGTTGAAGCAGTGAGAAAGCACAAAACACTTTGTTATGCAAAATATAACAAGCAATTGAATTTTATGTGCCTTTATCCATTACCAGCTGTTAGTCTGCAGTGTTGGAAAGAACTACTTCCTATTATGGAGCAATCCGGCTGGAATGCTGTTTTAAATTATCGGAACATTAGCTTTGGACGGAAGGCGAGTTTTTCTTGACCCATAATTTGAAACAGCGACTGATTTTCTTACACATACTAGCATTAGCTCTAAAGATTTGAAGTCCCTGTGAAACTCAAACACTGACGTGGAATTTCCCCTTTTCTGCTGCAGCTGACAGCGTTCTACTGCCTCTCTCTGTTCTGCCCTCTGCCTCTTTCTTTCAGTCATCCACCTTGCTATCTTATTCATATATTTATGAACTATGCATCATCATACTGCCATTGGCAGCTCATATCACAATAGCTTAAATCCAAACGTGGAAAAAAGCTTAGTCTTAAAAAGCCACGCAGCCTCGATGTCTGCTTTGTACACAGTTTTATTTCCCTACCGATCCAAACATAGATCTGACAACTGAAACACATTTTGCATTCACGAAACGCCTGCACATTTAGCCTGACGCACAACATCTTCAGGTTCTGCAAAAGTCTGAGTCAAATCTAAAAAAAAAAAAAAAAGTCTGAACTTTGTTCATTTCTACATATTTCTCCAGATGACATTAACCAAATGGTTTATTTTTTTTCCCCCATATGTCTTGTCTTACAGACAGAAGGGTGTTGTGACTTCTCTTCTCTGTGCAGTTCAGTGAGAGCAGCATGAATAAATACAATGAGTCTGAGAAAACTGTTCACACACAAACGATGATAACCAACCGAAAACAGGAAGAAGTGAGTAAGTGGTATACTAAAAGGGGAATTCCGCCAGCAAGAAAAGTGAAATAGCCAACTACTCAGCCCCTAAACGCATAAGTAAAACGTTGTCGTTAGATTTAGCAAATCGCGAAAATTAACTCCACCAACATCAGCTCCGCAAAGCATTAAGGTGAAACTGTCTCTCCTTTGTTGAGTCCAAGTATTTGATTAAGGATTTGTATCTTTTAAAAATATCATTTCGGGCTTATAGTTATCAGAAAGTAAAACTAAGAGAGGATTCTTGAGCTAATTTCACAAAGAAGCTCTACAAATCTTGATGGTCCATTGAAGTCATAATTTAATCTTGGCAGCAGCAGCTTTTCATGTGTGACTCATTCGTCTCGGTCAAATAAAAAAGTCCTCACGTCGGGTTTTACCTCCACATGTCCTCTCATATTTTACCTCATCCCTAATGAACACAACTTTCCATCTTGTGCTTCCATATCATCTCAGGGCTGAGCTATTTGTCAGTCGTCTGTAAATGACTTTGGTTGGCAGATGTGAACTCTCACTGGTCTGAGGAGACATCCCAGAGCTTCTGTGAGCCAAACTCTGAAGGCTCATCCATCACGAGGTCTCCAAGTACACATTACAATCACATTACAGACCATCACAACAACTGGAAGAGCACAATGATTTAGAATCAAATGAAAACAGCTTAGGGATGAATTTAAAACGGTCCTGTTTTACAGGCTGCAAAATGACAGCAAAATATATTTCCCAGAGACCAATGCAACAGTGCTCTCTCTTTGTTTATAACAAATTAAAAGTTAAACAAATGAGCCTCTTCATGTAGAATTGCAGTAGCATTAGCCTGTTGCATGCTCTGTGGTTTTCTTTAAAGTTTTTTTTTTTTTTCCATTTTGACACAGTGGTGGGAAGCAGGTGCAGTTCAAACTGCCAGATCTGAAATACAGACTGAGGAAATAGTCTGCTTTGTCCCCATCTGACACGAAGTGTTTAAGAGCAAATACTGCTTGAGCTTTGCGCTTATCTTGGAGATAAAATAAAAACTAAATGGAAACACCTTTGCGTAGGATTTCATTGGAACTTTATCTCATTTTCTGTCTGAATGGAGTCAGCAGATAAAATGTATAACCATTATTCGCTCCTTACACACAAATTCTACTTACAACGGTGGAAAGAAGTTGAGAACTAGCTAAATTAGTTTACGTTAGATTCGTATTGTAAGTCTTGTAGAAAGTAGCTAAAGCACAACAACAAACACAAAACAATAAATACTCTTAGAAATAGTTGCGCACCGAGTCAGTATACAGATATAAATCCTTCAGATAGATTCATAGACAGAAGTTTTACCTGCGTGTCTGTCTATCGCTGACGTGCCACTGGGACAGACCAAGCTGCTTCAATGCAGGTCATGCTGGTGCAGTGCATTGTGGGACGAACTGACATCTTCATTCCTTCCTTCCTCTACTTCTCTCACTCTAACTCTCTCACATTCTCATAATAGGACCGTCTGCTTGGCAACGGCCATACCGCAAATGTGGTCAGGTTTACTGCAAGCCATCACTGCGGAACATCAAGTCTCCATGACAACAGCTCCTTTATCTCATTTGCATCTTCTGCTTGCATTATGAACTCATGCCAAATATGGTCACCTTGTTATTTTTGCCCGCCTCTCTCAGGATCCCCTTTTTTTTTTATAACTTCCTCTTTCCCTCCATTT